TGCGAGAAAAGTGAGATGTTGGGTGACATAAAGCGAAAATATCCAAGTGAAATTTTGCAGGTAGATTTATAAAATCGATAAGAGTGATCATAAAATTAAAGCAAAATTTAACAATGCAACAATCTAAAGAAACATAAAACAAACTGTAAATACGTTTGTTATTGCCACTAATAAATAAATATATTAATTATCATGTATCAATAATTACTTAATAGTAATTTCTTCCAATAATTATATCGTATAAATCTGCACACATACATGTTCTCATATCACACGCGCGTACGAATACACGCACGCACGCACGCACGCACGCACGCACGTATATACACCAAACGGTAGAATATAAATTTTGTGACACTAGGATACGTTTAGTTACCAGCCGACTTCGCCGTTGCTGCGTGGAAAAGAGGACAGATCTATATCCGCGCGAAACGCGCCGAAATTACAGCCGTAATTGCGTAATAATCCCTCTCGCTATGCGGCCGTATCACGGCTGGAAGAAAAGCTACACGGATAATAAGCAAACGCGTGTATGCTTTGTGGGTTAACTGCTCCTTTGCACTGAACGGTTTTTCGGTCGATTTGCTTACGAATGCGCGCACCGAGATGGTCATTATTATAATCATCAAACCTGCGTTGATATATGTATCCCATTATCTATTATTTTCGTGCGGTCCTTACTCCATTACGCTCGAACGGCCGGTATTTTCGAGCTGCTTCTCGCTCGCTCTCCAGTTTTACGACGGTTTACCGATGCGATGCGTGCGAAGTTATTGCCACCGATTTTAGTGTACCTATACGTACGCTTATGACTACATCGGTTCCCGAAGGCGCAAACCTGGCAGGCTACGTTAAAACCTCAAGGGGAGATCGAGTTTTCTGTCGGTGGCCTCGCTCTCGTTTCTTTTTTCGCGGGATCCAGACGCGATTAAGTACGGATTTTCATGGTGGTATCCTACAGCCGTGCTTCTTTATGTGGTATCGCTTAACTAGACACCACGGGAATTCCTTTGCATATATTAGGATTTCAGTCGCGAGATATACAGTGGCGTAGAATCAAGGAAATGTATGAACTTAATGAGATGGAGAAATTAAGAGAGACGATTATACTGGCCGGTTTACACATTCTAGTGGATCTTTAATACCACTTTAAAATCACGTTTGGAACATTTTATCGAAGTTAACACTTTGATAAAATTTAATAAGATTGGATCGATAAAAATATATTAATTCACAAATCAGTTATTAAATTGCATAAAAAAGCTATGTGTATATTATTATACATATTTATATACGTAAATTATAAATATATGAATTGTAAATTATACATGTCTCACACACACATACACACACGCGCGTACGCGTGCGCGTTTTTAATAATTTTAAAATACCGAAACAAATCGATTAAAAGATTCATTTCGATTATATCTAATTTCGGAAAAAATTAATAAAAAACAGACGTCTTTTTATACTCTTGAATTTTCCTGAATAAAATTTGCCATTAGCTAATTTACATTTAAGTACTTTGTTACTGACATTAAAATTCTAAAAAGATTGTACAGAATCGAATGAGCTATTTATAGAGAAAATCCTCTCTGAAATATATATATATATATAATGATCAATTTTCTTTTATAAGATATCGTAAAGGAATGTAACAGGTTCTGGGAGGCACGATTGAATATATTGATAGTAGGATGCCTAGGGAGAGGCAAACGGCAATCTAATCAGTAAAATCGATGTCGTTGGCCTCTGTTCATTATTCTCTCTCACAGTATTATTTTTCGATCTTAAAAATTATTTGAAAATCACAAAAGAGCGTTTTCTCGAAAAGGAGATAAATGCGAAACGAGAACAAGACAACTCTAAAGGAGCTTACTATAGTACACTGTATATACATTGAAGCACAAGGATAGCGAACAAGAGATTAACTGACTACGACTGAAACGCTTAGGCCAAATTCCTCGTCACAAACGTCGCTTACTACCGGTTTAACGTGTGTACGCGTGTACACACGCGTGTGTGATGTCGAAGGGAATCTATAAACGAATGTTTTGGATTGTGCTGTACAGATGGCAGCACCTAACAAGGTATTTCGTGAAGGTCAATATTCGAAGCTATGGAATTCATCTGGATTTTCATAGAATAGAAAGCTTAATCAACATAGAATAGTCGCTTGGAAATTTTTCAATATCCTTTATTGACTCTTACATTCTCTAATTAAATTTATCATGAAGCTTTTTTGCTCTCGTCATGTGAATCGTCAGCTATAAAGAGTATAAAGTATTGAAGTTAAAGGTGTATTCCATTTTTGAAAGAACCTGTCCTCTCTCATTTTTTTAAATTTTATATTTTTAACTGTATATACACACGCAATCTCGTATTACCTCATATTAAATGCATGTTGCGTAATATGTCTTAATATCTATGCAAATCTATCGCAACGCCAGTTCGCACGTAAAAATCTGACTCACTGTTCTTTAAACGTTCGCAGATTCATCTTAGCGTATGCGACCCGTTCCTCCCGATTTACGAGCCAACTACTCGTCGAATTAATAATTTTCGCTACCGCGGGGGTTTCTGTAGCAAGCTCACGAGGTCGTAACCTTACCTGTACACTAGACAAAAGAGTAAACTGAAAAAGGTGTCCGCAGGCGCGAATGAGAAACGGAGAAAGAAGGAAAGTGAGACGAAATCACACACAGGGGCAGCTTGCAATACTCGTACCCTCTCTCTTTCACGTAACAGAGCGTCGCCCAATAAAAACGTCACAAATTCAGGGGCGAAGAGTTTCTGGGTGAACACCGTCTGGTGGCGCCAGGTTACACCACCTTCTCGATCCACGGGGAGTTGCGTAAAGCTCACTGACTCGCTGTCACACGCGGAGTCAGCGAGTGGTGGGGAAGCTATGGAGCGAGATGACATCGCGCGCACACAGAGACGCGGCGAAATCAAATCGACGCCAGCGCGCTTCGAAGGAAGGGCGAGAAAGCGGCAGGACTAAGCATCAGGAGAAAAACAGAGAGGACATTATAAGAAGACAGTTAAAGAGAGAAAGAAATAAACGGAGCTAAAGCGAGAGAGAGAGAATCGAGAGAGAGAAAGAGAGAGAAATAGAGTCCGTAGGGTGGATGAAGAAAACGTAAACGATAGACGGAGTGAGAAGGTAACGGAGAAGGGTTGATCGATCCCGATAAGAACGAGAAAGATGGAGCCATCCCGAGAGAAGCAGAAGGTGACAGAGGAAATGAGACAATGAACATGAAAGAGAAAGAGAGAGATAAATAGGATAGGTGTGGGAGAGAAAGAGAAGTTGTTCCGGAGCAATGAGGGAGACAAAGAGCGGAAGCTTGGCAAGAGGGAGGCAGGTAAAGGCAGAAAGGGGAAGAGAAAGAGAGAGACGGAGATGGAGCGAGAGGGGTTGGTCGACCCTGCGCGTTATCAAGAGCCGCCCCTCCCGGTCGCCCCTATATCCACCCCGACTTTATATACCCCCCGTGCATCTAAAGAGTACATGCATTCGTGTGTGCGGTGGTTGAAAACCCACACAACCATTGACGTGGCTCGTCCCTAGACGCGGCCGGGCGCAGAGCGACGCCGCATGGCGTCGGCGTCGCGAGGTCGTCCCGGCACTAACTCTCTAACGATGGCATCGTCGGCCAACCGCCGCCGGAGGAAGCCGCTTCTTCCGTGGTTCGTAACGTCGTTCCTGGACGATCGGGACGCCCGGACGGGATCGGAGCATTCGGAGCATCCGAGGAGACCAGGGGCACGAAGAGACGAAGAGACCCGACACCCGCGCGAGTGACGTGCAACGCCGGAGCGCCGCGACGCCGACAGTCGTCCGCGGGACGCGTCACGGTCGTCTCACGGGAGACCGGGGACGTCTAGTTCCAGCTGCATCATCCTCCAGTTGGCGTCTGACGTATGAACGGCACACGTCTCTAATCATCCCGTCTCATCTTCCTGCCTGCGCGTCAGCTTTTCTTCAGTTTTTTTTCTTTATTCTTCCGTTCCCCGGCCGTGCGCATTCTTTCCCATTCTATTCCGTTCCTCGTTCTCTACGCCTCCCCCATTTTCGTCTCGTCTCTCGACTCTCGCCCGTTCTCGAGTTTATCTCTCTTTCTCCTCGACGATTGCGTCGAGCGACTGTCCTTCGCATCGAGCCACGACTCAGCGAATCGGCGAACGAAACGGACGGAGCGTATCCACCGTGAACGTCACTCGTAGCATGTAGACCGAGCGGAGCTGTCATTCGTACGTCGCGAAGACGAGATTCGGAGTGCCTTCTGTGATTCGCAATCCCGAATGCCCCCTTCGGAACTCCTCAGTGTGCGGTGCTCGACATACATATCGGAAAAGGATCCTACGTCAGATTTCACATATCGGTTGATTTCAGTTGGCGATGCTCAAATAGGAAATCTACGTGATGACGATGTCGCAAAAATTAACCCGATCGCAGATAGAGAGAGACCCAGACAGAGAGAAGGAACGGAAACGATAACGAGTAATAATATCAGGTCAGTATACTTTCGAATTTCTCGTTCCGCAGTCTAAAAATATTTCCAGGTGTATCGCGACGATCGCGCATAAATGTGTAATAATAACGATGCATGCTTATTGGGGTAAACGAATATTGATCGATTGTCACGCGAGCTGCCTTACATTTCGGTGGAAGATTTCCGCAATGGCCCAAACAGCAGGCAACCAGTCTGACATCTCGGCACGTTGGGCTTCCAAACTCCACGGGCTTTCGAGAATCGTGGGGTCACAGGAAGATGAGATCGTTTTATGACCGATTAGTCATCGTTTGCCCTTTTTTTTTCTTTTCGCGTGGGATCTTTTCAAGAATCGCGTTCAATAAATCTTCGATCTATATTTTCGTTTCCGCGGAACTCCGTGACAAAAACTTTAGGATATCCGCTCTTCCCATTCAATATCCATTAATAACTCGAGTGTTATTTATGTGTTATTATCCATAGGCGAACTCAAGATGGCCATGAAAAGCAAAACGCGTATGGACTTCCACCGTACATTAAACAATCATTTCAATTGGATTGTTTGTCGCAAGATCACTTGCGTCCCACACAAGTCAACAACATTTAATAAACATCTTGTCTCAAACCTAATTTGAATTAGGCCTTGCCCACAATCAGGATTATTTGCGGTGAGAGAAACGCGAATACATCTTTTTACACTTTACACCTTAATTAAAAATTAACCAAAATTTTACCTGAATTAGGAATGGAAGATATTAACGATATCGAGGTCGTCTGCCACTTCATGCCAGCAATTCCAGAAGATACAATGTTAGTCTACTTTACGCGATGCCAGTCTGCCGTCGATCTTATCAGGCTCTGCATCCTTGGCCGGTGCAGTCACCGACGAGGCGTTATCCGATGAGGAATGTGAAACCCCCTGTACGTATACTGAATGTATCCTGAGTGTATTCCTGTCCGGTATACCTTCAGTATACGTAACAGGAGGCTACACCAAACAACGTTGGACTTCTTCTTCGGCGCAATTCCCCAATTATCAATAATCTTCGTGCTATAAAATATAGAACTTTAAGAAGATAGAGAGAATAATAAAAATAGAAACAGAATATAATATATTTCATTTACCTAAGACGCCGCAAATTGTATCTTGAATGTAATTTAAAAACTCTCACAATCAATGTAATAAATTTTGCTACATATGTTCATATACTGACATTCGTGAATTCATTAATTGTACAAAGTGTACCAATAAAAGAATTATGCATACAATTATATAGTTATAATATTAATACATTTAGCATATATATGTATATATACTAACTCTTTTAAATTTTCATATTAAATTGAATCATATATCCATAAAATTATTACATAGGCGTGATATATGTACATACATATGTAAATCTTTCTCTTAGAACAAAAAAATTTCAATTATCTTTCAACAATAAATATTGCCTTTTATTAATCGAGCTTATACGGTAATAATTGATACTGCTAATAATTTAATTAATTGCAATATAGCATTTATTTTATACATCATGTATAAAAGTTAAACTTTCTTCTGTACAACAAGAATTGTATTAGTATTTTTACCCTATCCTCTGTCAAATAATATTAGATATTTAATAAAATTAAAATAATTATGCATTACAGATCGTATTTGATAAAAGCAACACGATATATTTCGAATAAAGCAGTAATGAATTTACTGATATTCTTTTTAAGTACCCCATCTATAAATTAAATACATAGGTCGTAGGTATATTGCAAGTACACGATAATTAATATAACGTTAGAAATCAGAATCACATAATAAATAAACATATATGTATACATTATGAAAATTAATGTATCTTTGGAAAAATCACAGCCACAATATGTATGCCTTCTATAAATGCAGAAATAAAAAATGAGATATGCGTGTGAGTTACGCATATATGATATATAACAAATTTAAAAAATTAGCAATTCCAAAGAAATATTAATTTTCCAAATGCTTAAAACGTTTATTTGTTAATTAAACGTATCTCTGTATTCCAAAACTATTTTAACCTAAATTAAATAATATTTTTAAACTTGCGCTGTACTATTAATAATATTATTTGTCTAAACTATAAAAAATCTATTTTAAATCGATTTTTTATTACACACAATATTAATTAAAACTAACCTTTCAACAGTAGACTTACCTCTCAATATTAATTAAAACTGAAAGAATCAATGTTTCGTCTTACAATTACATATAAAAAGATATAAAAAACAACACAAAAACATCGAAATATTCTATTAATCTATGAATAAGAAGATCCAAGAAACTTCACAACACATGCAATTCCGTGATATTTGTTTTAAATTAAAAAGTATTTTTTGTCTGATTTATAGCTATTCTGCTTCTCTTAAATAATAGATAAATAAAAAAATATATTGAAAACTTTTAATGGATTTTGTTTACATTTAATAAATGTAATTCTGTTTTTGTTTTAAATACTTCTATAATACTAAAGCAAATAATTTACATACAAAGAAATATATATTATTTATTTGCTTGGACCGTGCAGAAATTAAAAGGCGTAAAATTAACTTTGTCATGAAGCACAAGGTCTAATAAATTTTCTCCGAAATAAATATGAAATATATCATTCCATTCAAAGATGACATTTTTAGAATAACCCTTTCTTCGAATTTTATTGTATGAGAGCAAGTTTGACAAACTTTCCCTTTCTTAGAGCGATCATAAAAAAGGGTTAAAATGGAAAGGAATTCAGAACGGTTATGCCGTCGGTTGAAGCGTTTGCAATTGGTGAAGGGTTAGAGAAAGCGACGAACACGATAAAAAAAGAAAGAATTAGAAAGCTAGGAGAGGGTTGTCTAACTAACGGTGGAGCCAGAATTTCACCTTTTCAGAGAAACAAGCCAAAACTCACTCAGTTTCCATCAGTTGACCAACGAGTTTAAACAGTCATAGTCATAAGGATTTTCGAAGCTTTTCAAGGTGCTGTTAGCAAAGCTTCACAGTAGTAGGTAAGTGAATTATTTTGTTGCATTTATTTAAACTTATAAAGTGATTTGTATGTCCTTTTGTTGATAGTAGAGTCCCTAAAGTTAAAAGTCATAGAATTAACCTTTATCTTTTTATTGCAAAGCATTTTTTAAAATTTATCTTTTTAGGCAATAATGTAATTGAATTAATGGTAATAAAGGAGAATATATTAGAAAGAGTATATACGTAAATGTCTTAAAAAATAATACTCTTCAATAAAATACATTCTAATAAAATATGTTTCATATAAAATTATTCTATATATTTTTTGCATATTAAAATAGTTGAAATTAAAAAAAGTTAATTTGATCTGCTTTGTGTTAAAAAATATCTATCTAACAAATATTTAAAATAGCAACTAAATATGTTAATTTAAACACATTAAATATATTTTACGAAGTATAATTCTTAATATTCCGGTAATTCCTACTCCTTTAAGATAATACAAATAATTTTCTATTAAAATACACACAACAGAAATAACATCTAAAATTTTCTATTTACAATACAATTATTTTAAAACAAGTTAGATAAAACACTTAGTTCTTACATCAAAATGATTAACATTATTATCGGGCAATCTCTTGGTTTCAAGAAATGCTATCGCAAACATGAAATAGCCTTCGAGTGCAATATTCCATAAAATAACGAAATAAAAATTGCTGCTCACATTTAAGTAATCATCGCGAGATAAAATTGCGCAAAGTCTCGGCGAAAAAATGCAAAATATGTAAATGGACCAGAAAAGTAACTCCAACTCCTTTTTTGTACGAACGAGGTATCGTGCCATCTTCCGCGAGCGCTTTTCCATCGCGGACATCTAGCGATATCTAGAACATCGAACTCGCGAAATAAATTTCACGTGGCCTCACGGCAAGGAACGCAAAGGGTCGCATAGCCGGAGGATGACTCTGAACATGTCCGACAAACATGAGGAATAATAAAAAATAAACCAAACTTTACTCGTGGCGGAGAAACTGGCGGGGCGAGATAGACGGAATTCGCGGGGCGCGGGGAAGGAAGAAACGGAAGGTAAGGATGGGAATACAGAATTCAGAATGAGACGGACGAGGACGGGGAAAAAGACGTCAGTTTAAAGCGAGAAAAGCTGTGAGGAGGACGGAGAGACGCGCCGTCGGGGATGTCGGATAAAGAAGAGCGTTGAAGGAAGGAGACGGAACGAGAGACACGGCGACGGACGGAGTAAGACGGAAATGGAGAAGCTCTCGCTCTCTGTCTCTCCTCTCACGGCCAATGAGTCGCCGTCGTTTTGATGGCCCAACCCTCGGAGCAACATGGCCGCCAAGTGCAAAAGGGAGCTTAAGTAAGGGTTAGGTTAGGCTAGACTCGTCCTTTCTGGACCCGTCGCTTTTGTGAGAGAGCTGCGCGCCAGTGGAGTGGGGTAGGGTGGGGTGGGGTGGGGTGGGACGTTGTCAGCCATCATGGGATAGGAAATGCAACGCTCCGTATCTCCATGGTTCTGGCAACTTTTGAAATAATGGAAACGTAATCCGCGACTTCTGATAGTCTAAATAGTCGAGATGGTCGTCGCTATTCGCCGGTATTCGCGACGACTATCATCTTAATTGCATATCGCGCTCGGACGGAGGTTTTCCAATATCAAGTGCACACGTGAATTGAACTAATTCCACCGAGAGAAGTTAGGAGATATATCCTTGCAATATATTTTATTGCAAATTACAAAAATGTAGATTGCCACCATACAATTTAGCGTGCAATTTTCCCCCACGATTCTGCTGCGAGTGAGAAACGGGATTAGTTTATCGCGGATTTTATTTTGAAGAAAACAGAGCGGTTTGCGAGCTCAGGACAGGTTGAATCGTGCATGAGGGAAAAAAAGCAAACCGGTTGCTGCCTTCACCGGTTGCTACCAAAAGCGGGTCCGCTAATTTGACATTTTTCACATCGCTCGAACGATCATACATTGAATGGCCAATAATTGGCTTCTAATCCGTAAGTTTCTATGTGTACTGGTATTAACGCAGCCTATGATATCGTGTATATATAATAACGTGGAATTTTGCGAAAATGCAAGATAAGGTAATATATGTTAAGAATCGATCGATTGCATATTTATTGTCTACTTTTATTAAAAGACAATTAAGTATACGTTTATTGCTTTACTTTCAAAGAGATGATGTATGCAAATATTCTCTATCAATAGATACGTCGTGAAATAATTTAAAGTAATATCTAAATTTATAAATATCCTAGCATACGTTAACGTATTAATTAAATGGCTGCTCGAGATTAAGTCAATGTATTTGATCCATTAGACATTAAACAAAGTTTTATGGTATTTAATGCATTTTTTTATAGAGCAATATCACATTTATATTATCAAATATATCATATTATTTTGAGTGTTTTTGATATTATTTTTATGGATTTCAACGTTTTTATAAGAACAGAATTTTAAAAGCATTAGACTACAGATTTATTAATATTAACGATGATTATAATATTAACGAATTCAAATTGCCTTTAAAAATATATAAAAATCCAATTACACGATTATGAAACATTTAATACCATAAAAATTTATGGTTTTAAATATTTTTTTCTCCATATCTAACGATTTTAATGACATTCTCGTAGAATCAAACATTTAGCTTCGAATGGCCGTTTCAATACTTTTCCTTTAACATGCGACAAAGTACTTATCTAAGAAACGCATCTTTCAGACTATTCCATGACATCTAAAGTTTATCAAAATCGCAGGTGAGCACTTGTGCATGTTTCCTCGTTAGATCGTAAAATCAAAAACACTTGTCAGTTATACAAACAAGATGCGTGGCGACATGCACACCGTGCGGGTATTAACGCGTATTAAAATGCCTTAAAATATCGCGACTCGCGTCAGTAGAATTACAAAAGTTCAGAGTGGAGAAGCGCGAAGGCTATGACTTAACGGCGTCAATTAATTCGATATAAAATGAAGACGCAATTACCTCACCCGTCTTACGATATTAAACCTGGAATTCATAGCGAATGCCGGTTGCGCTTAATTAATTTCTGCCCGTCTTACGGTTGACTTACGGCGAGTACGTGTACGTCATTAATCCTCGCAAATACGCATATATATGTTTGGGCGTACGTGTACCAAAACTTGAAATCGTTCGCTAAGTTTCCGCGAAAGCTTTATATTACATCAGTGATTACATATAATATAATATTTTGACAAGTACCTTTTGTAAGCAGATAGCAA